TCTGAAACCAGTTTGCCTTCATAGAACTTCTATAATAAACATTATTGTTTGCCTACTTAGCATCTATTGCTTCCTTCCTTATAATATCTGATTTTTACTAAGGGATCCCCTTACCAAGGAAGTACATGTGTTTTAAGAGAAGCTAACTCTATACTCATATCCACAGTTGGTCCTGATTGAGCCAAGGGTAATTACAGTAGTAATTGGGGCTGTTCATAAATATTCTGGTTCTCCTTGGGACATAGTAGAATTCTATTTCCCAGCTTGTTGAAGTTAGGGGTGACCATATGACTTGCTTTGGTCAGTAAAATGTGAATAGGAATGATATATGTCACTTCTAGGCAAACACCTTTAAAAGCCAGCGTGTGATTCACCAGACCACCTTCCCTCTGCTGCAATGGTTGCTAAAGCCTGTGTCAAGGTGAAGCCTCCATTAGCCTCCATCTTAGGGTGACTATAATGGTAGAGCGCCCCCTGCTGACACACACTGGCATGTAGTGAGAGCAATAAAATTTTAGCTGTATTAAATAGACACTGAGATTTGAGGGTTGACTGCCATTGCAGTTTAAGTCCTAACCAAAATAGTAATCACGTCCTCTAACCTGTACCTGGGTCAGGAACCTAGCCTAAGCCAAGGAATAGGTTGGAAAAAAGCTTGTGACTCAGTTGGTACACTGACATGAGAAGGGAGATTTGCTGGGGCTTTGATGAAAGAAGTAAGTTACTTTTAGGAAAGCCATCAGAAGAGATGAATCCTCTCTTTCTCTGGATGTTGTGTGTAAACGTGAAGCCTGGAATTATTGTAGTCATCTTGCTACCTGCCTGAGGATAAAGCCAATGCAGGGGGAGAGCAGTACTAAAAGAATCACAGAGAAATGAAGCCAAAGCCCTCATTGAATCATAACCAATCATTACTCTACTTCTGGACTTTTTCATTTAGGAAAACCAATAAATTTCCTTTACTGTTTAAGTCTTTTGAGTTTTCTGTTACCTGCCTCCAAAAGCATCTTAACAGTTGCAACTTCTTTCTCAGTTCTTATTTCCACTTCCCACTCTTCCATTCAGTCTAAAAGAAATAATAACTAATAATGGCATTTGTTTAGAGAAGACTTACTGTGTAGCTGACACTATACTGAGTGCTTTTCAGAAGGAGATTATCATTCCATTTCAGAGTAGCAAAATGTGTGAGCTCCTTGAGAGCAAGATATATGTATTTTTAAATTTGTAGTTTTTGTAGAGATGAGGTGTTGCTAGGGCTGGTCTCAAACTCCTGGCCTCAAGCAGTCCTCCCACCTTGGCCTCCCAGGTGTTGAGATTACAAGCATGAGCCACCATGCCCTACTTGTAAGAATCTTTTCTTATTTGTACATATTTGTTTTCACTGCAATTATGATATAGTACAAAGCCGGTACTGAGCAAATATTAACTGAACAAATATAAGTTGACCTTCATCCTTAAAGGGCTTACAGTATTGTTGTATATTCAAGTGTTAGAAACCTGGATGATTCAAGACCAATACAAGACAGCATGTACTGTTACTAAATTGAAGATCCAAAGGGCATGGTACTAGCAGTAAAGGCTATGAAAGAAAGATATTGTTATTATCATGATTGCCTGAAGGTTGGGAGCAAAAACTTTTTGGAAAAGGTCAAATTTGATCAAAAAAGAAGGATCAGAATTGAATAGTACAGCAGATTGGGGGAGTGGATATCACCTAAAATCAGGGCAATAACAGAAGCAATAAATAGCATGGTGTCGAAAAGAACTTGGTGCATTGAAGAGCATGCAGTATATCCAACTGAAGTGCTCAATGTTAGACCTTTTATTTCATTTTTCTAATCACAATAGACAATAGAAAGCCATTTGCCTTTGAATTGCTTGAGGTAGACTTGATATAAAAGAGGTATTGTGGCCACTACTCTGACTATATACTCAAATCCCTTGCACACAGTAGTTAATGATGTTTGTAAACTTGCAAATGCATCCATCCATGTACTGTTTCTCCCCAAAGAGAGCAGAAGCTTCCAAGGGCTTTTGTGCCAAGCATTCTGCTTCTTTCCTGGCTTTCTTAACTCAATGCTAGACACACACTGATGTACAGTAGGCCCTCAGTTAAGTACTGACTAAATTGATTCAAATTGTCTGGTTTGGGGAAAGAAGTTATGTGCCTAGTGAGCCTGGTTTCTCAGCACATTAACACTTCATCAAACCTCTGTCAGATCAGATTCTCAATAGGATATCTTAAATACATGCTATTAAAATACCTAAGTAGAAGTTCCATCTGTTTGAATAGACTGAGCCTGATGAATCAGCCAGAGAGGTGGGAGGCTGATCCAGCCAGACATGAACCCATCGGGTGGGAAACAGGCAGCTAGCTCTCCCTCCTTTTGCTACCCTGGTAGTGCTCACTACAATGTACAGATTTATAAAGACAAAACATGATAAACCAGTTAGCAAAACGCAAAAACTGGAGCAAGCTGTAGGGCATTGTTTGTGGGCTCGTTAACAGAGGTCCGGCTGGAACCCCTCATCCCAGCTGTAGATCACGCTGAAGCCCTTGTTAGAGAAGGAGAAAGAGGAGCTCTGGGACCTGCCCTTTTCACAAATCCTGGGCCACTGGAGTCTAGATTTTGTTTTCATGCCATTGTAAAAAAATGTTTAAAAGACACACACACAAAAAAACAGGACTTATTTTGAAAACTGTCACCAGTGAAGTCACTAAGGACTTAAAGACAAAAATACAAAGATGGAAAAATGTCAAGGAAGCTGCATCCTTTTATATTTGCCCAGCAAAATTTTGGACAAACATCCATCCTTAATGAGATGTCATCAAGCCCAAATTTCCAAATGGTCTTGGCTGCCAGAATTCTAGTTACAATCAACTTCTCCCCTTTCCCATTTTCCCTTAAATACCCTGGTTGTGGGTTGCATTTTTTGATGCTGTGATTAAAGAAGGAAAATGATTTTGGGGTCACTCTTCACACCGAAATACATGTTTCAAAATGTTCTTTTCTAAACTTTGCTTCAATTGGTAGCACTTAGTACACAAGGCCTTGCACACAATAGGTGCTCAGTAAATAATTTGTTGAATTAAATTGAATCAGACTTTCATTTTTCTAAACTAAGAAAAAAATTGAGTGTGTTTTCTTATTACCACCACTGTCTGATTTCTCTTCTGCTGTGCTGTCAACTTGCCTTCCGTATCTGTAGCCTTAGCCCAGCCCCGCCCCCAACACAAATACATGCAAACACAGTCCCATGCTATCCCATTCAGGTGTTTCTATTGCTCCTTTATGGGTCTGCTTATGGTATTTACTTTGTTAAATGAGAAGGTAAGTGAAAAGAATAATGTCTAAGAGTCAAAAGACCTGGATTCTCGTCCTACTTGTGTCATTTACTTTGGATCTTAGGTAAGTGACTATATGCTCAGATTCCTCATCTCTGAAATAATAATAATAATATTGACCTAACTCCCAGGATTGTTGTGAATATCAAATGAGCTAATATATGTGAAAACCCTTTGAGAACAGAAAAGGCTTTTTAAAGAACTGTTCTTATAAGAACCTCACCCCAGTTCATGTACCCAATAAAGAACACCAGCATCAAAAAGGTCTTCCATACTGTGTTTCCCTGGGAAATGGGTTCCTTCTCACCGCCTTTCTCCAGGAGAGGCTTACTGGCTGACTTCCTGGGACACATTTACTCCGATGAATACACTGAGGTCCAGGGTTGGACCCTCAGCTTTGCAGCACCAGAAACTGGATCTTGGCAGAGCCTCTGAGTTGATCAGACTCAGAGATGCTGACTCATACTAATCCACAAGACTGGTATATAACCAGAATGCCAGTTGATTAATTTACAGTGGGAAACATTTGGCCTGATCTGCCCCTTTTCTCCCTATAGGCCAGTTGCATGGGAAGAGAGATCATCTGACAGTTGCTCAATGAATAAGGAACTTTGACAAAGGGAGTTACATTATTCAGTGTTTGATAACATAGGACTCTGCTCAACTGGAGCCTCTGTCTCCTCAACAGGAATCTGCTCCAGATGATCTAGATGTTTCAGGCACTTTGGCGGAAGCCCCCATTCCTGAACCATGCACACAAGAGCCGGTGTACCATGTGTGCCCTTTTCCCCACATTCTCTCTGTTGACCAACACATTGCTCTTTATATATATTAATCCTTTTGAGACTTCTTGCAGTGCAACTGTGGTTCCCAAAGCCAGTCTGCTGACCAGAAAGAAGCTGGTTGCCACAAAAGCACCTGGGGTACATGTAAAGAAATAATGGGCTTGTATAGCTCTATTGGAAATTCTAATAATTAGGTCTGTGGAGGGGTCTAGGAATCTGAATATTTACAGGCATCCCAAGTGACTCTGATCATCAGCCAGGTTGGGGAACCACTGATATAAAAGTCTTATTTGGTTAAGAATCTATTCTACCACTTTAAGATGACTTTGCATATTCTGATCAGATCCATTACAGACCGATTGTATAGATAAACTCTCAGAACAAAACATTACTTCCTACTTCTCAAAGGCCAGTTGCTGTTGTATCCTTGAGCCTGCTTCCTTCATTCTTTCTTTCCTTCCCTCTTTCCTTCTTTTCCTTCCTCCCCCCACCCCTCTCCCTTACATAAATATTTATAAATACATAATGCATAAGGAAGCTTACCAAGAGGAGGCTGTAGCAGTTGACACTCCAAGAGCCAAAACCAAAAGCTGCTTTCAGGTGATAATAGACTTGGAGGATTAGGATATATAAGCCTGGTGCACAGACAGCTCTAAGGCCAGCCAGTAATACCAAGGCCTGACATTGAACAATCTTGAGATAATTTCTCTGCGGTAAGCAACCCTGGGCCTTGGCATACTTCCTGAGCTGATGTGCTGTAGGAAACAACATTATGCTCCCAAGGGACCTTGAGGGACACTCCAAGAACCATGTTCCCGTCCCACTCATGACAAAGCAGACAGCCGTCTTTTCTCTCAAATATGGCTCCCATGTCGCTAGCACCTGGCGGTGCCTTGCTTCCAGCAGAGCACCAAAATCAGGACAGCAAAGTGAGAATCAAATCTAAGGAGGGATGCCAATGTGTGATGGGCATTTCTTTATACCAGGCTCTGTGTTCCCATATTATATATCCTATGCACCACAAAAATCACTGAAACAGGTTTCAATATCTCCATTTTCCAGATGAAGAAATTGAGGCTCAAAGGGATGAAGTAACTTGCTAAATAAAGGTCATGCAAGCAGTTAAGTGGTGGAATTGGGATTTGAATCCAAGCTCACTCCATTCCAAATTCTATGTTCTTTCCGTAATCCCATGCTGCTTAGTAAACAGGGAGGTTGGAAGTGGGAGTTTTGAACATAAGCTTCATTTGCTATGCATACGTATTTATAGATAATTTTTATAATTTCTCTATACAGAATGACATAAATAAATACATATTTTTTTCAAATATTCCATAACAAGTATCACATTCCTACATATGAAATATACTAGCATCTAAATCTGCATTTGCTTAATCCTGATTCTTTTCTCAGAGGGAAAAGGGTGGCTATAATTAGGGATAGGACTGGGAGTCAGGATACCTAGTTTATAGTCCTGGCTTTGCCTTTCACTCACTGGGTACATTGGGAAATTCCTTTTTTCTTCCTGAGCCTAATTTTCATCATCTGTCAAAGGAAGGGTTGGATTAGATCTTTTACATGCTAGGATTCTAAAAATCTAGTAACACTGTTGTTACCATGTTTCTTAATCATTTTAGATCAAAGCACAGAAATTGAACAGTAGAAAAAGAAAGCTGAACACATATATTAGAAGCCTGTTTAATAATAACTAATTTTATTGAACACTGTTTGTATGCCAGGGACTGTACTAACTAGTTTGTATTACTTATTTTGATTACTTCTTACCACATCAACTCTATTGTTATTTATCCATCTCTTAGGAGTAGAGAGGTAAGCAATTTGCCCAAGATCACATGGCTGGTAAGTGGAGAAGCCAATGCTGAAATCCAGGCCCAAGCCTAGGGCTAGCTCCTAAATATAGTCCTAGCCTCCACTCTTGCTTTACAGCTCCCACTGTGATGACTGTGTAGGACATTTATTAAAATTGCATTTGAGATTCTCTGATCTTGGGACATGAGGAAAAAGGAGGGCACATATCAGCCCATGTAACAGAATTTTCTAGAGATTATTGCTATGATTATCTCCCTTAGGAAAGGAAGCTGTAAAAGTTATATAGAATATGTTCAGGTTCAGAGAATCAACTGCATCAGAGAAAACATTATACTGGTCAGCAGGCCCTAGACATAAAATTACTTCTATTCCTTAATATTATTAGTAAGCTTTGTTTTCCTAACACTAAGGTCATAAAAGTTAGGCCCCAGTTTCTCTGCCTAGGTCTAAGTAGGAGGAAATAAATCAAGAAGGAAAAGAACTTTTCTTGCTCTTACTGATCTGCGGAGGTGAAGGCAAGTGGGAGGAAGAAATGGTTGCTGGCGGGTAGATAAAGAACTATCAAAAGGCTGAGTCCTGTACAGATGGGGATGCTGTATTTGATATCCACCCTATTCAAATGATGCCTTGATATCTACCTATTGCCTCTGATCTCCCTGGACAGGGAAGTTGGGTGGCAAGGCTGAGCCATGGTCTAGGATGAACTATAAAAACATTATGAACCATTTCCATCCCCAAAGGATAATACCTGGACAAAACTACAAGAATGTCCAATCTTGGGAGCCGGGATGGAATAGAGAGCGAGCTACCAGCAATGCCACTACTTCTTTCTGTTTTCTTCCTTGCTCACTACCCACATTAAGTAGGACTCTTTTTCTTTTTTGTGAGCTTTGTATTACATGTCACGCAGGTGGGTTGGAGAGAAGTGAAAAAGGCTGTCTATAAATTGCTGTAGCTAATTTAGAAGTCATTTTGCGTCGTGTACCCAAGCCTACACTTTCAATAATGTCAGAAAAGTTTGCTTTACTTTTGCAATGCATCGATAGGTTAAATGGCATTTTTATTAAACCTACAGGTGACACAAAGCTGGAAAGTATACTTATAGCTACAGAGCTAAATCAGAATTCAAAATTGTCTAGACAGTCTGGAGTTTCTTGTCTAACTCAATAAGTTGGAATATATCAGAAATAATTGCAGAATTCTATATTTAGGGTAAAAAGAAAACCATCATATAAGTTCAGGATGGAGATGATTACCCGAACAGCATTTGTTCATATGAAAGGACTGGGGACTTTATCCACAAGTTGAATATTTTCCAACATTATCATGTGTCTGCTGGATAAAAACAACCCAATCTTTGACTGCATGAAGGGAAGTGAGGGAGAGATTATAGGAAGCCCTGGTCCTAGTGCAGTGGGCTGTGGTCAGACCACACTGAAGTACTGGGTTCTGTGGTAGGTACCACAATTCTTGGGGGATTTTGACCAACTAGAAAAAAAGTAATGGGTTGGTAAGGGGCAGGAAATCAGGAAGAGTCGATATAAATTATCACATTTAGCCTAGAGAAGAAAAAAAAAAGTCAACCAAAGGAATACCATATCCTAGTCTGCAAATATTTAAAAGGCTCCTTGTGTGACAGGCAGAATAAATTTGTTCTGCCCTGTCAAGATGTAGAGCTAGATTAAAGAGCAGAAGTTAAAGAAGGTAGATTTCAGTACAATATAAGAGCTTTTCAATACCTGAGCTGTTGTCCTAAAGAAAGAGAGAGCTCCTAGCATCTAGAGGTACTATAGCTATGGCTACCTTAAAGGAGACCTTTACACTGGGCAGAGGTGAAGTGCGAAGAAGACACCACTGTCTGTTTTGCCAGGACTGGATTCATTGCTCTTATTTCACCTGATATTTCGTATATATTCTTGGGCTTCAACTTGGAAGCCATTTTGGCTGAAGAACCACGCCCATGACTTTCTGAGCAGGGACTACCACTTCGGAATGCCTGAGCTTATAGCCCCTTCCTTAGGAATTCTCTGAACAGTGAAACTCACTCTCGTACTTATCCATTTGCCTAATAACAGAACGGCTCACTTTGCTTCTTGAGCATATATTAGGCACTTATTTTTTTTTAATTTTTATTTATTTTTTTGAGACAGAGTTTCACTCACTCTGTCACCTAGGCTGGAGTGCCGTGAGTGGTGCGATCTCGGCTCACTGCAACGTTTGCCTACCAGGTTCTAGCAATTCTCCTGCCTCAGCCTCCTGAGTAGCTGGGATTACAGGCATACACCACTACACGCAGCTAATTTTTGTATTCTTAGAAGAGGTGGGGTTTTGCCATCTTAGCCAGGCTGATCTCAAACTCCTGACCCCAAGTGATTCGCCCGCCTTGGCCTCCCAAAGTGCTGGGATTACAGGCATGAGCCACCACGACTGGTCACATATTGTTTCTGCTATAGAAATATTTTATTACTCCATAGATTGCACTTTTATTTCTTTGAATTTCATTTGTTAATATTTAGACACTTTTTTCTGAACAGACCTTTGATAATATAATGATTTTAATAATAATTAGAATTGTTACACGAAAAGAAACGAAAATTTCTGCTCAGAGGCTTGGCTGTACTGTTAACAATAGTGCCAGGAAGCCAGGTGCGGTGGCTTACGCCTGTAATCCCAGCACTTTGGGAGGCCAAGGCAGGCAGATTATGAGGTCAGGAGTTCGAGACCAGCCTGGCCAGCATGGTGAAACCCTGTCTCTACTAAAATTACCAAAAAAAAAAAAAAAAAAAAAATTAGCCGGGCATGGTGGCGTGTGCCTGTAGTCGCAGCTACTTGGGAGACTGACACAGGAGAATCGCTTGAATCCGGGAGGCAGAGGTTGCGGTAAGCTGAGATCACACCACTGCACTCCAGTCTGGTGACAGAGCGAGACTCCATCTCAAAAAAACAAAACCAAACCAAAACAAAACAAAAAACAAACAATAATGCCAGGAAACTTCTCCCCGCAAGATACATCTATTCAGCCCCTAAGAGAGTCGCTGTCATACCCCAACCCATCTTTATCCTACTGGGAAAGGCAGGTAGCCTCATTCTTAAAATCCATTATCCAGGAGCTTAGGAGAAATAAAATCTAAATTTCTTTTCAGGAGATGTAAGAGACTGGAAATACTGGTCCTTTGGTTTTTCACACACTACTCAACACAACACTTCTGACACTGGATGTGTGAATTCTTTTCCCCACACACCAAATAATTTTCCATTGGACATCAGGAGGGTGTCCTATAATTCAGTTCTGACACATCTACCTAGAGTAGATCTCACAGGTTGAGGGCGCAGCCTCTCAAGACTCCCTCTCGCTTTAGATGCCAACTGCAAGTCCCAGGTTGCAGCCTGTACTCCTGACTGTCTGGCTATAAATTGGGATTCTCATGACCCTCCTCCTCAGGTTTTATTAATTTGCTAAAGTGGTTCACAGAATTCAGGGAAACATATTTACCCATTTATCGTAAAGGGTTTTATAAAGGATACAGAAGAAGAGTCAGATGGAGAGATGCCTAGGGCAAGGCATGTGGGAAGGGGTGCTCTGCTCCAGGCACCTTTATGTGGTCAGCTCTCCAGTGGCTCCCTGAACCCACTGCTCCTGGGTTTTTAATGGAGGCTTCATTACATAGGCATGATTGATGATATCACTGGCCATTGGTGATTGACTCAACCGTTAGCCCCCTCCCCTCCTGGGAGGTCAAATGGTGGAACTTAACGTTCCAACCCTCTAATTACAGGATTGGTTCCCCTTGCAAACCAATACAGATGGGGTTTTGCCATGCTGCCCAGGCTGGTCTCAGACTCCTGAGCTCAAGCGATCCTTCAGCCCCGGCTTCCCAAAGTGCTGGGATTATAGGCATGAGCCACTGTGCTCGGCCATCTTCTCATTTTTATAACAGTCCAATTCCCTAAGATAAACCCATGATTAAGTTTCTTGTTTCAATATCTTACAACCAAATAAATGTAGTAGTTAAGAGTTCTGACTTTAATGTCAGATAGACCAGAGCTCATATACAGAGTACCCACTGAGAAGTTACTTACTTTCTTCAGCTTCCTTATATGTAAATTCACAGATTTGTAAAGAGGATTAAGTGAGATAAAATATGTAATGTGCTTAGCACAGTGCCTGGCCCAGAGTCAGTGTGCAGGAAATGTTAGAGCTCATTAATATGTATTATAATCAAATAAAATATGAGGAGACTGAAAAAGAATAAAATCACCCATAGTTCCACCACCTGAACTGATTTTGAACTATTTTCTTTTTGTCTTTTATCTGTGTGTATGAGAAAGAAATGTTATATATGATTCTGAGAGGCAGTTCTGGTAGTTAGAATGCCCTTTGTTTGCCAAGTCATCATAGGTGGTGGGGATAAAATCTGGAGGTGGAAGCTGGGGTGTGTGAGTGCAGAACTGCTCTGCATAATGAAGGGAAAAGGCAAATGAGATTCCCTAAGGGAGAAATAGTTTAATCCCTGGGTTAGATCTTTTAAGCACTCCCTAAAGACAGAGAAGGAAGCCATTAAATGTTCTGAGTCTTAGAACTACCCCTGTTAGACTAGATCACCTTTGTAATATCTTTTATACCAGTTCCCAATTTGCTGAGAGTACTAAGTCCCTGAGAACTGAGCCTGAGACACTTGTGCCGAGAGCCCTTTATCAATCCTTCTATCTCCTTCAAGTCATTCTTTTCTGACCCATTCCTCCTAGGCAGCCATGGTGGTCTCTTCCATGTTTCCCTATCTCAGGTCAGGCTCTTTTGAAAGTGGGCGTACACATGACCATCTTAAATCACATTAGTCAGTAGTTCTGCGGATACCTTATTAGTAGGGAATCTGGATCAGGAAGATTGCTTTCCTATGGGCTTGGGTAAAAGCCACTAGAACCCAAGGAGACAATACTTGTCCAAACTGATTTACAAACAAAAGCTAATGTTACTGAGTGGTAACACAGGGAAAAAATTTATTTACTACTAACATCTAGGAGCCAATATTTTAATTTAATAATTTACTTTTCTTAATTTCTATTCACAAGTTGAATATTTTAGATTGGTTTGAAAGTTATCACTTCTCTATGCTGTTCTCTCTCAGCCTCTATTTCTATTTGATAAGCAATTTGAGATTATTAATGCAATTTATGAACCTATGGAAGAAGAATGTGAATGGAAACCAGATGAAGAAGACAAGATTTTGGAGCAGTTGAAAGAAAAGGCCAAGATTGAAGAAGAGAAGAAAGATGAAGAAAAAGAAGAGCCCATAGGAATTCCTGAATTTTGGTTAACTATTTTTAAGAATGTTGACTTGCTCAGTGATATGCTTCAGGAACATGATGAACCTATTCTGAAGCACTTGAAATATATTAAAATGAAGTTCTCGGATGCTGACCAGCCTATGAGTTTTGTCTTAGAATTTCACTTTGAACCCAGTGAATATTTTACAAATGAAGTGCCAACAAAGACATATAGGATGAGGTCAGAACCAGATGATTCTGATCCCTTTTCTTTTGATGGACCAGAAATTATGGGTTGTACAGGGTGCCAGATAGATTGGAAAAAAGGAAAGAATGTCACTTTGAGAACCATTAAGAAGAAGCAGAAACACAAGGGACGTGGGACAGTTTGTACTGTGACTAAAACAGTTTCCAATGACTCTTGCTTTAATTTTTTTGCCCCTCCTGAAGTTCCTGAGAGTGGAGATCTGGATGATGATGCTGAAGCTATCCATGCTGCAGACTTCGAAATCGGTCACTTTTTACCTGAGCGCATAATCCCAAGATCAGTGTTATATTTTACTGGAGAAGTTATTGAAGATGATGATGATGATTATGATGACGAAGGCAAACAAGCAGATGAGGAAGGGGAAAAAGAAGGAGATGAGGAAAATAATCCAGACTATGAACCAAAGAAAGATCAAAACCTAGCAGAGTGCAAGCAGTAGTGAAGCAGGATGTATGTGGCCTTGAGGATAACCTGCACTGTAATAGCCTGAACACAACTCTTATTTACTTACAGGCTTACGCTTTTGTATTTTCTTGGTAGACTAGGTCATTTTTTTTAAAGGACAGGAAACTGATATTTTAAAGACCAATTTGTCCTACGTAGAATTTTAACTAGTTTTTCCGCCAGATATGTTGAATGCACAAATTCTGTCACGCATGTTCATTCATTGCTACGTAATTTGGTTCTTCTGGAACATTTTCATGTAGCTCTTGGAGTACAACTGTGAAAATTAACAACTGCTAAAGGAAACACTTTTTTTCGTAATTTTTTCCTTAAAGAACCAAAGTATTTTTTTTCAGCTGGTTGTTGAATAGGGTTAAGTCCGCTTGGATTAGTTGTGCCTTTCATTAATTTGTTACAGAAATGCAGTGACTTATATTAAGACAATTCATTGTTTAAAAATAAAATTGACAAGACAACTATATGGTTAAGAATTTCCAGTATGACCACATCCAATAACTGTATTAGATTGTTAATGGATTATTGTGTTATAGGTGACACAGTTAACTGTAAAGTAACCTGACTCAGGATAGTTACTGGTACCACAGTGAGGTGAATAAAACAGGATTTTCAGAAGTTAGCCCTAATTTAACTGTACTTTTAAATTTAACCTCCATTAACTAAGCATCTTTTCTTTGTGGTAGAGTCTACCTTCTGCTTCCCTAGAAAGGATGAATTTACATAATTTGACAGTCCTATTTTCAAGTTATTTGCTATTTGTTTGCTTGTTTTTGCTTTTGCAGCCTAAAATAAAAATTTCAAATACAATTTTGTTCTTACAAGATAATGTCTCAATTTTGTACCAATTCAGGTAGAAGCAGAGGCCTAGCTTGAATTAAGGGTTATACTCAGTTTTTACCACATTATTGAAGAAAAGGGGAAAAAAAAAGCTTTGGAAAGACATACTATACTAATAAGCAACTGTGGAAGAGGAAGAAGAAGAAAGAAGAAGGAGGAGGAAGAGGAGAAGGAGGAGGAGAAGGAGGAAGAGGAGGAGGAGGAGGAGGAGGAGGGGAAGATCTTAAGTGATTTGATGCTTTTTGTAAAACAAAAATTATTCTTTGGGTTAGAGCTAGATAAAAGGCCCCAAGCTTCTGTGGTTTATTCTAATTCTTATTGCTTAAAGCATGAGTATGTCACTTACCCATGCTTCTTTTACTATGTATTAAAATGTGTAGTACTGTTTACCTAACTACCTCATGGATGTGTTAAGGCATGTTGAGTTAAATCTCATAAAATGTTTCTCAATCTCGTTAAAAGCTCAAAATTTGGGGCCTATTTGTAATGCCAGTGTGATACTCAGCATTTTGTTCACACCACAGTTTGATAACTAAATTGGAAAACAAAGGTTAAGTACCTCTGTTCTGGACCTGGGCAGGCAACACTCTTTTAGATCTTTGTGTGGCTCCTATTTTTACAGAAGTGGATGGATGCACTATTTCACAAAGTCCAAGAATTTTTTTCAGGTGTTTTTGCTGACTGTATAGTAGTAAATACTACGGGGATAGCACTATAGTATTGTAGTCATGAGACTAAAGTGGAAATAAGACTGTTTTTGACAAAAGATGCCATTAAATTTCAGACTGTAGAGCCACATTTACAATACCTCAGGCTAATTACTGTTAAATTTGGGGTTGAACCTTTTTTTGATGACAGCGAGGGTGGACTATTGGGTTGTCATTTAGAGGAAGGTCTAGATTTCCTGCTGTTAATAAAATTACATTGAATTCATTTTTAGAGGTGATGAAAACTTCCTTTCTGAGAAGTTAGTGTTAAGGTCTTGGAATGTGAACACATTGTTTGTAGTGCTATCCATTCCTCCCCTGAGATTTTTAACTTACTACTGGAAATCCTTAACCAATTATAATAGCTTTTTTTCTCTTTATTTTCAAAATGATTTCCTTTGCTTTGATTAGACACTCTGTGCTTTTTTTTTTTGGTAAACACAGTTCATCTAAATTCAGCTTTTTCTAACTTTAAAGCTAGAATCTCATTTCTAATGAACTGAAGTAGCAAAATCATCTTTTTCATTCTTTTAGGAAATAGCTATTGCCAAAGTGAAGATGTACATAATACCTAGTCTTGTTATATAATGGTGATGTGGTTTGCAGAAGAATTTTCTTTATAAAATTGAAGTTTCAAGGGATGTCAGTGTTTATGCCATTTTTCCAGTTCCAAAATGATTCCATTCCATACTAGAAATTTGAAGTATGTAACTTGAAATCCTTAATAAAATTTGAATTTAATTATATAAAAAAAGAAAGTTATCACTTCTTCATTAAGTGAATCTGGATCCTAAAGACTGAAGATTCTGTTTGTTGCCAGAATCATAACTTGATTAGAAAGATAAAGAGGTAAAAAGAATGAAATGGAATAGGCCCTCTCTATTTCTATGGCTAACGTTTGGGAAAATTTTTTTTATAGAAACAGAAGCTTCTTCATTAGCCACCTGTTGATAGATTTTAGGCTGTGTCTAATTCACAGTGATTACCCCTCACTAGAACCATTTTATGGCCTTTTGGCTTAACTAGTCACTCAGTTTGATAGAGATTGTTAGGAAGGGGGGAAAATAAATTTGGAAATCTTAGATAAAAATCACTTGAGAAGATGTTAGGGAATGTCCTACAAATAAATACTACATGTAAATATTCTATTAAGCATTTGGTAGAGAGTTGGCCAAGATGACCCTTAGCAGGTACACAAACTAAATTGGGGTGGGGATGGGAGTAAGGACAGGTAAGATTTGGAAGCAGCAAGAGCTTCCCGGGCAAAGTCAGGACCTTTTGGGGAATGCAGCTGGAAAAAGGGGCAGTGTAAGAGGAAAAGAGCTCAGCACTACAAGTCCAGAGTGTTAAGCCCAAAGAGTCCAAAAGCTGAGGTTCTGGCTTTGCCAAGATACCAACATGGAAGGTAGGAATGCATAGAGACAACTGGGGAATCCCAGGTAACCAAAAGATTCAGGCTCAGAGGAGCCATTAGGGTTTCAAGAGAAGCTTTCCTTGTACACATTTCAGGATTATTTGGCTCCTATACTAACTAGTACTTTTTAGCTTCAAGTAAAAAACAATCTAATAAAAAATGTGGCTTAAGTAAAATGGAAATGCGCCTTTCTCTCAAGCAACGTAAAGTTGAGCAGTCGTTAGTCCACAGCTCGTATAGAAGCACCACAATGTCAGTGAATCCCACCCTTATTCTTTCAGATGCCAACATCCTTAGCATCTAGTTTCCATCTTCAGTATTGCTTCATGGTTAGTCACAGTTAGTTACTGTAGCTCCAACCATCACATCCACCATACAGGGAGGAGGAAGGAGGAAGAGAGGAAAACAAACATACATTTATCACCTAAGTCAGCCAGTCCCCTTTAAAGAGCATTCTCTTCAGTACTCCACCCTGTGATTTCTGCTTACATCCTTTCACCAAATCTGTTTGATATGACCAATCCTAACTAAAAAAGAAACTGTGGAAAGACAGTTTTTAAACTTAGCACTGAGTTGCTGTCAATAAAATTGGAGTTCTCTTAGTAAGATAAAAGGGAATAATGAACATTAAATAGCAATTAGAAATCTCTGCCACAACCTCCTAACCAAAGAATGGCTGAAAACTTATTTCCAACTCCCAGTTATGTGTTGGGTGAGGCTCTAGATGTATTGATGTTCTTGGGATGCTTTTTCATTGATTCCAGGACAAGGCAGTTTATGGACAGCTTATTCCAACACTGGGTTTGAACTAAGTTAAATCATGGAAAAATAATGATAATAAAAAGGGAATGCCTACAGGAACAGTCTAAAGGAAGTGAACTAATATGATTTGACTCTTGTCCCCACCCAAATCTCATTTTGTAGCTCCCACGTGTTGTGGGGAAACCTGGTGGGAGATAATTGAATCATGGGGGTGGGTCTGTCCCATGCTGTTCTCATGATGGTGAATAAGTCTTATGAGATCTGATGGTTTTAAAAACAGGAGTTTCCCTGCACAAGCTCTCTCTTTGCCTGCTGCCATCCTTGTAAGATATGACTTGCTTCTCCTTGCCTTCCACCATGATTGTGAGGCTTCCCCAGCCATGTGGAGCTGCAAGACCATTAAACCTCTTTCCTTTGTAAATTGCCCAGTCTCAGGTATGTCTTTATCAGCAGCATGAAAGCAGACTAATACATGCATCATCATAATGGTTACAGTGTTGGGTGAGGTGATGGGATCATGACTTTTCTAGTTTTCTGTTATGCATTTGTATTATTTCAAATGTTCTTGTATTCTTTTAATTTCCTATTGAATTCTTTTTTCTATTTTAAGACTCCCTGGAGAAGGAAGGCATTTGGGCCAGCCTACTTAAAGTGAGACATATGCCCAATGTGCAAATTAAGCCAAAAGGCCATAAAATGTGTTTAGGAAACAAACCAGGGCATGTGAGATTGCACTTGCATAAACATGTTGTATGTGTGTAATATTGATCTCCATCTCACAGGGGAGCAATAATGAGCTGGCAAAGGCTCCTGGGAGAGAAAATTAGAGGATGAGAAAGCTACTCCATGAAAGTTATTGAAGAGTAGGTGGCATGTTTGGAGGCCTTTGGTAGAAAGACCTGGGTTCTAGGCCTTTTCCCATTCTTCCCCTTAAACAGCTGCATGATACTGGGGAAATTAACCTATTTAGTCTTGGATTTTTAACCTATAAAATGGGAAAAGAGAACAAGATGATAATTAAAATCCTTTGAAATATAAATAATTTTATTTTCCATAATTGCTGAGCCAAAAGAGAAAATGATGAAATATTTTGGGAAGTGAGGCTAAGGGGGAATGAAAACAGACAAGTAGCCTAACATATGAAGAGGTTTCACCAAGAGTAAGAAACTTAGAATAACATGAAAGTAAGAAAACCATTTGGGGGCAATTTTAAGTGCATAGTAGCTATGTGCAACCTCTTTAGATTGGGAGAATCACCCAATTGATGAATCGAACTCTGTTGTTGAATTGAACATCCTGATGGCAGTTCTAGCACCAGGAGGGGATTCCTCATGTGCAT